GTTAGCTAGCCAGGGGCCATATTCATAAACCATCTTATCTTACCACTTCTATTGTAACTGGCAATAAAAGTTCCTAACTAAGAGTTTCTCCATCAAATCTATTCACAAAACCGCTAACAGGAAGCTTTACTAAGGAATACTGAAAGATGATTGCATGTTTCACTGACATGAACGTTGACGTCAATGAAATCCCAATGCACAATGTCATAAAAAATAAAGAAAAACTACATGAAAAATGAAAATGTTGCTGATTTCATAAATGGAAACAATCAAAATGATCATGTCAAATATATTTGGGCCATTTTGTCAAATGTGATTTAAATACAAAATCATTCATTCATCTTCAGTATTCGGAGTCACACATTCACACACACACACACACATACACACACAGGGGTAATTTAGGGATAATTTCAAAACACCTAGGCAATCCACCTACTGGTGTATTTTTTTGAGAGAGGGGAGGAAACCAGAGAACACGGAGAAAACCCATGCTGACATGGGAGGAACATGGACATGGACAGAAACTTACAGACCCGAGCTCAGGATCGAACCAGGGATCCTTGAGCTATGCATCTGTATTTTAATGTTCAGTAATTAGACTACACAAGCTGTCTACCCTACACTGTAGTGTATCCTAAGCTTTATAGCTTGTGAACTGTCACGCTTTCCGGAAAATCCGATTCCCAGAATCCTCACTTCCCCTCTCTCTGCCAAGTACAACTGGTCCAACTCGCCGGAATTCTAATCAGATTCACCTGTTCCTCTTCGGTTTTTCTGGTTTGTACTCTGTGTACGGATTTTTAATCCTGTTGCTTTTCTTTTTTTACTTTGCCTTTGATTGTTGTTTTTGCCCTGTTCACATTGTGTTTTGCTTTTTAAACAAACTGTAGCCTGCGTACGTCTCGGCTAGTCTAATTGATGCCTGCTATGAACATCTAATAAAAAACATATTTGTCGTGAGCATTTAGATTTTTGGTACTTTGTAGCATGAAATCAGCAACACATTTCATTTTTATTGTAAACAGGTTTTCATGTGCGTGTTACGTCACCTCTGACGTGATTGAATTGTTAACAGCAAGCGAGAGGGCATTCATTGTTTTATGTAAAACACATCTCACAGATAATATTTGCAGATCGTCTCTGCTACATAACTACATTTTTTTATGTGGCCAAGTAGCGGAGAGTCGTGTAAACTTTGATCTTCGTCCGTACTGGATTACTTAATAGATAAATAGGTGACTGCCCTTACAACTCCACACTCATTGAAATCCTCCATACCTTATAAAAGCACATTGTTGTCATTATACATGAACTTGACTGTGCTGTTAATCACTGACAGCAGTCATTCAGGATTGTTTGATTTGATCTTAGTGAGTTCTCTGTTTTTGCAGAATTAGGACTTGTTTTTGCATAAAAAGGCTTTGTGATATGGGTGATTAAACAATTGGAGTGCCATTTATACCTTCTGTCTTTTAAAAATTAAACGTTATCAAGAAAATTGATTTTACCATTCAAAATTGTGTTAAACCATCTCAGGCAAAGAAATCAAAGGTCTCTTGGTTGCATTTCGCTCTTAAATGAGTAACAGAGATGAAACTCTGGGTAACAGGGTAACAGGGTTGAGGTTTTTAACATAGAATTAGCAAATACATAACAGCATCCATGCTAATGCCATGATGCCATTAAGGAGATTCTAATGATTTACTTAAAATTTGCATCCATAATTTGGGAAACAGGGATATACGATGCAAGTGAGCTCATCACTCAGTATCACGATATCATTAAAAATAAACGCGAGGAACAATGAGAGAACTTAATTTTCTTCCTCCCAGGATCTTCAGGAAACTCAAAGGATGCATCTTCATAACCAATAATGTTTAAAATGTCTTTTACCTTTATTTTATCTAAATATCTGTAAATGTAATATCAGTGGAACACAAATGGCGTGCCAATCATGGAATCACCCATTTAAAAAAAAAAATCCTTAGGAAAATATCCCAAAGTCCTTAATATTAGGAGTAACTCATCCAATTTTAAAGACATTTCTCCTAAAATGGAGCTACTTTTAGACTCAAGATGCTTTGTAAATACGGCCCCTGATTGGTAAAGCGATCTTTGTATTTTGTGTTACACAATCATTGAATAGCTATATTTAAATGTAACTCATAAATAAAATGTTTCTAACTCGAACTGTTGCTTCTCACATGTTTAATGTTGTAGATAAGGAGATCCATATAAAGGCTAGATACAACTCTTTCAATAAAGCACACAGGCTATTGGTTAGAAGTTGCACCACACCTTCAAAAGCACTGACCGAGAATTGATAAACTATTCAGACTGCTGAAATTTGCCAGCAAGTCCCAAAGAGAAATCCTTCCATCCATTTTCTGTACTGCTTATCCTACACAGGGTCGCGGGGGAGCCTGGAGCCTGGAGCCTATCCCAGGGGACTCAGGGCACAAGGTGGGGGACACCCTGGACCAATCCATCGCAGGGCACAATCACACACACTCTCACACACTATGGACAATTTAGAGATGCCAGTCAGCCTACAACTCGTGTCTTTGGACTACTTTGAAGTACGGGGAGAACATGCAAACTCTGCGCACACAGGGCAGAGGTGGGATTTGAGCCCCCAACCCTGGAGGTGGGGGGCAACAGTGCTAACCACTAAGCAACCGTGCCCACCAAAAGAGAAATATTTGCAAGTTTCAGAACATTTGATTTTACAGGCTTTAAACACAAGTTTTAGTAACTGTTCTTCTTCTCTAACTTTGCTATAACTTCAGGGTTAGAACGTTATGTACTAGTGTGATAGATATATATAAATGTAATATATAACATAGATGTACAAAATGACACCAAATTAAAACCTCCATACTCAGTCTCTATTTCTGTTACTTTTTCTCTTTACTATATTATAATTGCCACTGTCAGACTTTCTGGGTTTAATATCACACCTGCAAAGAAGAATGAACAATGCAAACTCCCATGGCAGCTTTCCCCCCCCAAAGCAGCTGGTGCTATTACCATACAGCCCCGTATATACACACACTCCAGTTTCTATCAGTAACTAGTGGGCTTGACTGCACCGTTTCAATCCGTGCTGACTGGTGCAGGACAGCATACAGCGTTTTTAATCACTTTCTAATTATCATTATCAATAAAAGCATTTGCAACGTGACATTTTTTGTGCCATTTCTGACTATTTTCCAGCCAAAGCTTTGCTGCGGCAAATCAAACTTACATTGATAGATTTTATTTCACATGAATGAACTCAAAACGTTCTTCATTAACCTTGACAGAAAGCAAGGGCGTCGTATCTTTCAAGTGAGAAAATCAAGCCATGAGATTACTAACGTGAGAAGATCTGTATGTGATATTTAATATTTCAGTTGCAAAAGCTACACTGAAGCTGAATGAAAAGCAGAGCTAGTGTTTAAAATTAATGCTGATGCTTGACAAATGATATGGCACCGATTATTGAACAAAACGGCTCAAAAAACTTACTTTTTTGTTATTTTGACTCTTCGACCCTTTGATTCTTATAGTTTTTTTTTTTTTTTTTATCTCTTTGACTCTTATAATGTTATTTTGACTCTACTTGATTCTTATAGTGGTATTTTGACTCCTTGACTCTTATAGGTTTTTTTTTTAACTGTTTGATTCTTATAATGTTATTTTGACTCAAATAGATTCTTATAGTGTTATTTTGACTCTATTTGATTCTTATAGTGGTATTTTGACTCTATTTGATTCTTACAGCGCTATTTTGACTCTTTGATTCTTACAGTGTTATTTTGACTCTTTGATTCTTACAGTGTTATTTTGACTCTTGGACCCTTTAATACAAAGTGTTTTTAAAACAAAGTGTTTTTATTTACTCTTTGACTCTTATTTTGACTCAGTGACTGTTATAGTGTTTTTCTGACACTTTGACTCTTATAGTGTTATTTTGTCTCTTTTTGGACTGCATGTTGGCTTCCATAAATCTTTGCCTGCATCTATAAAGAGCATCTTAATAGTTTAATAACATAAATGCAGAGAATGCAATTTTTTTCCTCATCAAGTGAATCAAGTGCACAAGGCCTCTACCTAAACACCGCCTTGTCCCCTCTGCTGAACCTGAGCTTTTAATTGATTCTGCCATCAAGTCTGACCATCTGTCCACGCGCTTGGGGAGAGAGGACTGTTTCTTCTGTCTTTTTTGATTTTATAAATAAAGACAGTATGAACTCCATTAAAAAAAACCACCTCTGTGGTTCTGGCAGCCATGCCAAATGTCCATGGAATACACAAAGAGACCAAATCTAATCAGTTTCTGCTTACATTAAGTTAAAAAAAAACAAAAAAAAAAAAACTCAAAGATATCCAATGACCTTTATGAATGTCCTGTTACACTGCCTTTTTTCCCCTAGTTTTTTTTTTTTAATCTTATTTCACCTTCAAGTAAACATATTCTTATCACATTTCAGTATAATAAAAAGGTGTGGTTAAGGTGAAGGATAAACTATCTCAGATATCACTAGGGTATCTCTATAAATACACACACACAGATTAAACGTAGTACACAACGTTTCCAGACGTGATAATGGTTGATGATGTAATAAGCTGTTGTCACATTCATTACAAAAACCCCAAACTTCAGTCTGGTGCTAATGCTAATGCTGGTCTGGCATTGTTCTGTCATTAATGGCAAGATTGAAATAAAAAGTAAAGTGAGTTGCCAGTTTATTAGGTACACCTCCATTGTGCTTCAGTGCTTTTGCAAATCTGAGTTTAAATCCCAAGTACAAGTCTCTAGAGAATAACGTTGTTGTTCTTCTTTCGGCTGCTCCCGTTAGGGGCCACCACAGCGGATCAGTGCTCTGCATATTTGATTTGGCACAGTTTTTACGCTGGATGCCCTTCCTGACACAACCCTCCCCAGTTTTATCTGGGCTTGGGAGCGGCATTGGGAGTGCACTGTCATATGCAACCCTAGTGGCTGGGGTTGGTGCCCTGGCCGGGAATCGAACCCGGGCCGTGGCGTTGAGAGCGCCAAGGCCTAACCACTAGTCATGCAGGGACCCCGCTAGATAATTATGCATAGTATATAAATGCACTTTGTAAGTATAGTTAGTAACGTGAAAATAAATTTTGGGCGATTAAAGTTTTTTAACTTTAAGATGTACATTTTCAATGTCTTTTTGAAATTGTAGTAAATATTAATATTTTAGTCATATATAAGATAGATAGATTTTCAAATAACAGCATGTGCCATGTTTTAGTCCTTATACAACAGCAAATCGGCAAGGGTTACAATTATTTTATTCGTTAACGAACGACACGTCATGTTTTTTAGCCATTTTATAGTTGCATTTAATGCTGTGGAATCTCTGTGAGAAAAGTCAGCTTCTGTTATCACTTATGTTATTACAGTCGTTGCTCACCAGCCCTTTTTTTCCCCTCCCTCTCATGAGAGAACCTGAAAGCACAAACCCCTATGCCCTACTCACTGATACAAAGCGCCGACACGACAAGATAAGTGGTACAGAAAGCTTCACCATATCAATGATTACACGTTTTTTAATGTTTATTATTGCTTAGATTATGTGGTGCATTTTCTATACACGATTAGAAATATGAAGCTGTGTTCTGCCTCGCAGCCGGCACTACTGTCAGAGCTGTGCTGTTACAGAAAATTAATCAACACATTCCGACCTGTCAGATTCAATAATAAAGGAGGTATAAACTCCTTTATGTCACCGCTTTTGTTTTGAATAGCCTTGTCAACCAAAAATATCCAGACAACCACAGCTCTGTGGTCAGAGACTGACCTGCTGTGCATGATACACTTGTTCCAGCGCCACAGTGTATCAAATTACTACCATAGCAGCGTCACTGCTGTGCTGTGTAGGTGCATTATCCAAATAATATCTGGTCAGCGGCCTTGTAGTGGTCGCTGCTGGCTGACAAAGCATGTTTAAGAACAGATGGGCCATAGTCAGTAATTGTACACCTAGAAATTGAGGTTTTATGATAGATGAACCTGATGAAGCAGCCAAGGTATATAAAGAACAGTCAAGTTGGTCTGTGGTGATGCAGAATATGCGTCGTTCGTGAATGACTCTGCTCTTTGACTCAGCCCATCGATTCAGAACATTGAGAGCCAACTCACGACTCACATTTTTTTGTAGATTTGGACAAAGCTAATATTATTGCTTTGTACTTTCTTTAAAATACTTCCATGGAAACCTCATTTCTATGTTTGAGCTGTTCGTTAGAGTGAATGGTGAGATGAATTTCACTCTCAGTTGTTTGTATGAGGCAGCACGAGAAGAAGGATCCTTGTAGAAGATGTATGTAGCCTTGTGTATGTACATTTGTAGTGACCTTTGTACTGAATTTACAATTATTTAAATAGAGTAGGAGTCGTTAACTGGCGGACCAGGGTCAGGACGCAGACGCTGCAAATTATTTCACCAGACCGATCTGAGCATTTGAAAAATACCGCAGCAGAGCCGATGTATGCTATGAAAATTGAAAACTCGCTGTAGTTCAGCGACTCGTTTCTCTAGACACCAGTCACACACGTTTATGTAAACTATTTAACCAGAGACTAGCACTGTAGCTAGTCAGATCAGCTCAGAAGTTTCATATAGATTTCATTTTATTTGCCGTCTCTGGTCTGATTAGCAAACTGACTACAGTTGACGATTAAAACGTAATGTTTACAAATGAATAGACAAAGAACAATGTTTATTCTCCCTGCATCAAATTCAAAATGTGTCTCATCTGTTCAGGGTCTATGACGCTAGTCAAAAGTGGTAACATGACGACACACAATGTAACCACTTCTTTATAACTATAAACAAATAATTAACAGTTAACAGCTGTCGACGTTCATCCATACGACATTTGTAAGCAAGAAATTGTATGTAAATGGACCTTTACGAAGCTGAATATCCCTGAAATAGAGTTTATAACATGTAGTGCAAAGTAATTACAGGTTAATTAGAAGGTAAATCTTACATCTTAGGCAATGAAGAACAGCATCTGATCAAAATATCAAAAAAATTGTCTTTCTTTTTTTTTTAATGGAAATGAGTCATTTGAGAGTTGACTCTTATTGCTGAACTGAGCCAAATGATATGATTCAGTAAAAAGATTCAGAATTCCCATCACTGGAGCAGAATACAGTCATTTTGAGCACAGCCTCTCCCTTCAGCGTTTGACCTCAAAAGCCCACCTTGGGTGGAGAGACCTATTTTTGTGACCCAATCCCAAATAAACCCTTCCTCCCTTCATAAGCACACTACTTAGGTTATGAAATTACACCATACGTAGTGCACTATAGTTTCCACAAGGGAGTCGTTTAGGAGTGAGCCGTGTGTGCGCTCGCGCTGAATTCTCTGACACACCGCCTAGTTGCGTAATCCTTATCTACGGCGGCGTGCGAGGGACACTACGCAGGTTTAATTCCCTAACTGCGAACCGCGAAGTCATTAATTCTCGAGTTTCACCACTCCTGTCGCACCCTGATAGTGTTATTCAGCTCATTGTCCTGGGCGACTTCAGTTTGTTTCGCTTTGTAACGCGCATTTCCATACCACACTCAGTAACAACATATATATATATATATAGAGAGAGAGAGAGAGAGAGAGAGAGAGTTAGATAGTTGTGTCATGATATGCTTGCGTGCTAAATATCGCGAGACATTTTCACGAGACATTTTTTTTCTAGAAAAAAAAAATGCTAGAACAACTGGCACGGGTGCACTGTAGGATAAAGTTGTGCATACTCTTAGTGAACTTAATGGCAATGTTAATAAACAGTTTAAGACACTTGTAACATGTGGATATTTCATGTGCACACAGAATAACTTGCATAGCTCAAGCAGGACGCATGAAAAAAAACACTAATATTTGACATCCTCCATTGCTGAAAAAGCTTTCTGAGCAGCTTTCCTCTGCGAAACTGACACCTCCAGCGCCGTGCAACCACATCCGCTCTCAAAAACGGCACAAACATTACGCTGTTCTGAGATTAAACACAAACAAAACAAGTGATTAACTAAACCAGCAAGTGAAATAATGCAGCACGCATGTATACATACACGCGCGCGCACACATCCACACACCATGAACTAGCAGAGCAACCTGCGTTTAATCTTGCTTTTCTTTAATAGGAGCCCGGTCAGCTTTGACAACCGTCAAACGTAAGGGATATGACTCACCTCCAAAGCCTGCGGAATGAAACAGGTCCAAAAAAAGTGCCCTTGTTTGTGTCTTGTATCAGGAGAGTCCAGAATTGGAGGACCGCTGTGTCCTGGAACGACCCTGCGGCGCGAGAGAGAGTCAGGGCCGGTCAGGTCTAACACGGAGCCGGGCGAAGCCGCGCGCGCACACTTACACTTACACACACACACACACACGCAAGCACACACACGCACACACAAGTGCAGCTCTCGCTTTCGATCGCTATGAGGAATCAGAGAGCAGTTTTGTTTTTTCTTTGCAAAGGATCAGATTCTTATCGCAAGGTTGGGAGCTGTGCTCTGCTCCAGCAATCTGGCTGACTTTAATGACTGAAAACAGAACCAAGCTCTTTCATCCTACAGGTTTACTGATACTAGGTTGTTTTTTTTTTGTTTTGTTTTGTTTTTCAAGCAAGAACAGAACCTGAGTTACAGTTATTTCATTCTTTCATTCATTCATTCATCCTCAGTAAGTACTTTATCCTGGTCAGGCTTGCAGGATCAAGTAAGGTGGGTCACCTGTCCATCATAGGGCACTACATACACACACACACACACACACACACACACACACATGCATTCACACCAATCCGCCTACCAACATGTTTTTGGGAGCTGGGAGGAAACCGGAGAACCCAGAAAAACATGAACAGAAGAAGAACATGAACTCTGCACAGACAGTAACCCGAGCTTAGGATCGTACCGGGTGTCTGTACTAACCCTGATCCACATCCTAAATGTGAAAATATCACTATATTTGGTCAGGGGTTCAAGCGCCAGCACCGCAATACTGCCACTGTTGGGCCCTTGAGCAAGGCCCTTAACCCTATAATAATAATAATAATAATAATAATATAAGTTTTATTTATATAGTGCCTTTGCACAGCTCAAGGACACTTTACATTCCAGACTAATAGACATAGGGGGAAAAAAAGGCAGAAACACAGAGGAGGACTTAAACAAACAAAAGAGCAATGATATAAATACTTCAGCTGTTAGGGGATGAGCCAAAGTACTGAAGAAATAAATGTGTTTTAAGTTATGATTTGAAAGTCGAAATAGAGGTGACAGTTCGGAGGTTCTTAGGGAGTGAATTCCAAAGTTTTGGAGTCATTACGGCAAATGATCTAGCACCCACGGTGGAGAAGCGGAAACAAACGTGGTACAATGAGTACGCCTGTATCAGAGGACCTGAGAGTCCGTGCTGGGATTTAGGGATGGAGGAGCTCAGAATCTATCTGCTCCAGGGGCCCCGTGTCATGGCTGACCCTGCGCTCTGACCTCTGCTTCCTAACAAGCTGGGATATGTGAAGAAAAGAATTTCACTGTGCTGTAATGTATATGTGACAAATAAAGGCTTCTTCGTCTTCTTCTTCTTTGTTTTCTTCTTCTTCTATAGTTTCTTTCCTGTAGGCTTACAAGCACCCATTGGACCCACTAGCAACCCACTAGTGGGGTGAAAGGTGAAAAACTATAGGCACCGGCATCTGGATGGGAGCCCACAAAAATTCCAAAACTCCAGTAGAACATCTATGTAAGGAATTAAACATGCCAGGGCATGCCGTTATAGGAAAATAATCAACAAAGGGCTGGTGTGAAGCGGTCCAGTGTGAAGCAGGGTTACAGTTACCACCCTGATGTTGATTATTTTACAATCACACATCTCGAAGTGTTTTATTCCTCTTATACCACATCGATTACAAATATTCATTTATTAATGAACAACAAGTTAAACATTTATCCATTTATAGTTACATTTAATTTCCATTTGTGGTACATCCGCAAGACAAATTAGTTCACTTATAGCAGCTTCACCAGCCTCTAAATACA